GAGAGAGAGAGAGAGAGAGAGAGAGAGAGAGAGAGAGGTGGGGGGTGGGGGAAAGGAGAAGATAATCAGGTTGACTCGTCGGTGATTAGGGGAGCGAACGGCGAGAAGAGGATGACAAACGGTATCGATGGAAATCATGGATTATGAGGAAAATTGTACGGGAGGATGCCGTTAAACGATGGGGAAGGATAGGGACAATTACCGGTGGGGGAGGGGAGGGGACATCAAATGATCGATGAAATCACTTTACTGGGGGAAGCAAGCATCTTGGGAGAGAGAGAGAGAGAGAGAGAGAGAGAGAGAGAGAGAGGTTATTTGTGCGTGCACGGCACACACAAGGACACAAATGGCATGATGAAAAGCGATTTGAAAGCAAGTGTAAGGGGACGGGGGCAACAGAAATGGTTTAATGGAGAGCCACAGAAAGGGGACGGATTGGAAGGGACTTTTGAGGGGCACAGTGAAGAAACACCTGCGCCAGGTGTGTGTGTGTGTGGGGTTCGTGTGTGTGCGTGGGTGGGGGCGGCGAGGGGGATGCGTGATCTAACATGTTTCGGCATCCTGTTTACTCCACATATAGTATTGCTTCTGAAAGTGCGGGAATAGCCGCACTGGCCATACTTTGGTGTTCTTTAGACCAGCTCTTCTGCATGGCTGTGAATACTGGTGACAGCTGGGAACTGTCTGTGCATGTATGGGTGGTTGAGATCGCATATGGAAAGAATTGCATGTGCTTGAGCCCTGAAAAGAATTGCATTCCTGCTGTTGGTGGAGACTGTACAAATCGGCATTCTGCTGGGATGGGGGACTCAGTGTCATGTACGTGGGCAGTGACATATGCGCTGAGTCATATTATTTTTAGGACCAGCCAGGTATTCTTAGCACCAGCCAGGGCTTTATGTGGAGTCGACAGTGCAGTACCATGTTTCTTAGAGAATCGTCTGCTTTAGCTACCACGTGGTAGCGGAGTTAACCTGGCCGAATATCCTGGCGTTTTGAGGCACCATTTTTCATTTGCCCCCAGTGTAGCCCTCTGGTTTGGCAGTGGTTTTGAGGCATAAAAAAAGCAATTAGAGTTGAAGTAGGGTTAAGGTCCTGACACAGGTCGACTTATCTTGTGTGCTTCTGTGGCGAATCTAGCTCTCTGGGTTGCGAGCGGTTGTGCGATATAGAAAGAGCAGCCCCCCGCAGAGGTGGTGGGGAGGTGGTTTGATTTGTCTGTAAGCTCGAGTTTCATCCTCGCGGCGGTTTTTATGTGATGCTGTTATGTCTCTACGCGTGTTCAAGGGAGGAAAGGATAACTGTTCTCATCTTGTTGTGGTGGGCTTTGTAAGGCCAAGTGGCAATGGTTGAAATCAGTCATCCAGCAAACCACTTTAGATGGAGCAGTTGGTGGCACTAAACTTCGTTTTCATCCGCAATTTTTGGATTGTTTGGATTGTTTGTGCTTTGAATGTGCATGTCAAGAGCCAGCTCGGAAGCCAGAATCGGCTGACGAGGTAGTTGCGCAAAACGAGGACAAGGACGAGGAAGCAGCAGGCAAACAAGAAGGAGAAGACAACCAAGAAGAGGGAAAAGACATAGTGGAGCAGTTGTGCAAGCAAGGATTGAAAGGCAGGTGGGAGGAGGAGGGTAATAGGAAGACGGAGGGGGAATTAGAGGCAGTTGACCAAGGATTGCGAGGGACAGTACAAACAGAAGGCAAAAGTGGTGGCTGGCAAAGGAGCAACACGGCTTCTGCGACCCAGGGGTTGGGTGGTTGTTTGAACCTGTTCCAGGGCTCCAATTTTGTGAAGAGGGAAAGATTTATGGGAGGTGACGGATGCAGGGCAGCACAGGAAAAGGCCGATGAGCCATCACCACGAAGTGCGGAGATCGAGAGGGTGCAGGCACAGTTGTGGTGTGTCAATAGAACCACTCCCCCTCCTCCCTCCTACCTGCATTTGCAGTGTGGCATACAATGTTTGCTAGATCACATATTTTGCCAATTGTTGTTTGCCGTGCAATGAAGCTTGCAAGATCCAACTCAAATCACATCATGCATGAAGCGAATTTGCGCGGAAGTTCACACGGCACAAGATTCAGCGTCTGACTGAATTCCAC